GAACAAATAAAAGCTCTGTTTTGATGCATTTCTTATTATAAATCGCACATATAGTGAAAATTTCAGCAAGATCGAGTTTTAAAAAATATCTTCCTGAAAATCACTGTTCACGAGATTCTTGTGACTCCCACAATATAAAATCTCATTCTTGGACATAAATAGATCTCTGCAAAACTAGGTTTTCCGAAGTAATATTTTGAACTGAGATCTTATCAACAATTTCACCATATGTGTGATTTATAATAAGAAATGCATCAAAACAGAGCTTTTATTTGTTCAATAAAAGTTTAAAGAATAAAAGCTTCGAGACATCTTGATGAACATGTTCCACAACATTTGTAACCTGGTTGACAATCACCATCTGAAGAACATCTTCGAAGACATGGAAATAAAATATTTGGATCTCGAGGAGGAATTTTATCAACAGGCATTGCTGGACAACATCCATTATGTTCATTTGAACAACAATAAGGTTTATCATACCATGAATGAGTTTTACATATACCACCAGCTGCTAAACATTTTCGTTCACCATGACCACAGGATATATTACTAAGTGGTTGACCATATACACATGGATTACATTCATATATTGAACAATTATTTCGAATTAAATATCGTCTACATTTTATTCAACAAATAGCTGTAGATACGCATAAAGGTATTCTAATGATATCTCGTTTTTCAATTGATGAAGATATTGATTTAATATGTAATGTACGATTAAATGCAACAAGAAGAATGAATATGACTTTGCATTGTATAAAATATTGTTTCTTTTTTTTGTTCAAAAATAAGAATAGATACACGATATTTATATATTTGTTTGTGTGATCTACGAATTTTATATATAGAAGAAAAAAAATATAATAAACGCAAATATACATTAATGTATGACGTCAATACATAGATAATAAATGGTGCCTATTGTATGATTTACTCATATCAGAAGTCAGGCTTTAACAAACGATCAACGAAATAGACTATTTTTATATAGTGAAGGACAAACTCAAAGGTATAGTAGCTCGTCATATATAAATACATAAGGTAGATTATCGAAAAAGCATCAAAATCAAATAAACAATGTCTCTCATCATGCAATTTTCATTGATCTTACTTGTTGTGTTAATAACATTAACATATGCTGATATTAATCCTGTACTTGTGTCTCCTAAACCAATCATTATTATTAAACCAAAATGTCTTTTATTTTTCTGTTTAATCAAATGTAAAAGATATATATATCGAAATAATTGTCCAACATGTGAATGTAATCCATGTGTATTTGGTAATCCTATTTGGGATGCAACATGTGGTGGAGGAGATCGTCAATGTGCATTAAAAGGTGGTATATGTAAACATAATCCTTGGACAGATAAAGTTTATTGTTGTCCAAATGAACATGAAGGATGTTGTCCATATACACCAAATCTAATATTTCTATGTTTTCCAAGATGCTATTCTGATAGTAATTGTAAAGAAGGACAAAAGTGTTGTGGAACATGTCCGCGTCGATGTGTTGATGCAGTTATACCATAGACACATGATAAATAAAACATAAACTTTCACGTCATATCTATTGTTTTTTGTCTTTAAATCATAATAAATTCTTTCAAATTGTATTTGTCTCATTGAGGTTAATCTTCTGAGTGCATTATTTGAAAAGGTCTACCGTGAACAAGACATCATTATCTTTATCATTTCTGTCGGAAACTGTCTATAAGCGTTGAATTTATTTTTTTTTTAGTATTTTTTTCTGATTGTAAATCATCAATATGACATTACTCACTGATGAAAGTGTACAGATTGTTAATGAAAACTTTTGTTAAGAATATCAATCATGTAAACTAACCTTGATAATACAACTGTTGTTTTTCTATGTATACTTCCAATCGGGCATGTTACTTTGTAGGGGAAAAGAGAAGTTTCTGGTAATACATAAGAATAACAAAGATGCATG